ACTTTGGCAAAACGATTTTTAATAAATGATTTTAAATACAATAATTATATTTATAGGAAATGCATACTGTAAGTATTTCCATTTAGTATATTTATAACATCATGCTTATATACATAACTGAATGTAATAATTAATAATACAATATTAATGTAAAAAGATTTTTTTTGTGTGAGATGCTATTTAAAAATTTATTATTTTAAGCTAATACTGAAAAAATTGTTATATAAATGCTCGTTATTTCTCTTATTCATTGAAATTCACTCAATTTACATTGTAAAATGACAATAAAGTACTTCGGCAATTACATAAGGTAGCCTTTACTTGTTCAAACTTAAGATGCGAACAAAATGACGCTTTCCCAAAATTGAAGTTTTTGCATTTGGGTTTATGATGCTATTATTCTCTGTCCAATTTATTAAAAATATCTGTTTTCTCTCTCTCTCTCTCTCTCTCTCTCTCCCCCCCCCCTCTCTCTCTCTCTCTCTCTCTCTCCCCCCCCCCCCTCTCTCTCTCTCTCTCTCTATCTCATAAAAAAGAAAATTAGATAATAATTATACTTTCAATTTATAATTTCAATAGGCAATTATCGACAAATGAAATCTTGAAATATTCGTACGGGAAGTTTCAAGAAAAACTTACTTGACAGTGAATTTGCAGAACTTGCATTTATCTACCTCGACACAATTAATTAGACATCGAAAAATAAATCTACTATTTTATATTATTTTATTGTTGAGAATCTTTAATGAATAGAGAGAAAGATAAGAATTTCATTTAATATTGTGTTTTGTAACGCGATCGGGATTTTAGTGCCAGAATAAACACATTTAAACATCCAGTCTGTATTCTTGCTTCCTGAATGACGATGAATATTCATTATTCTTATAATTAAAATCTATATAGATTTATAATAAAAATCTATATAAAAATCGATAACACATATATGAAGATAAAAATAAATAACAATAATAAAAATAAATACAAAAGTAGATAAATTATACAATAATTACAAAACGAAAGTTAATTTTCTTTTGAAATACTAAATAATAATGAAATGTAATTATATTTGTTATAATGCTGTAGAAACATATCAGTAGATTCAATAATCATTCATTTATATTCGAAAATATTGTTTCTTTCACAATTCTTTAGAATGCTATTCTTATATATAGATAATAATTTTATGCGCAGTGCACAAACTGCTTATCATGTTCCATTATTGTTATAATAACATTCGGATTGTTAAGTACTTATATAGTCTACGATCATTTTTTTCATGCACTGATATTCATATAATTCACGTTACATTCGTATTCTGCCGTCGAGATTACATCACGAACAAAAGCAGCGTATCAGATTTGGATCTCGCTACTCAAGACTTTTGCCTTATTACATCAGGCTCGAAGTGGTTAGTGCCATGTAATTGCTCGATCTTATTACATTGTGGGAGCACAACATCGTTGTTACTTTAATAGCGTATAATTGTGAACAGGGATAAACTCTGGTGATATCCAATCGAACATGAAATCTATTCCTCGCCGCAATCGGCGATCGTTCGCTTACGGATTCTCAATCGGCGTTGAGTGAGACACTAACCAACCAGAAAATAGAGACATTATCCGCGAGCGATTAAGATAGGGATCTGTGGCCAGTAAATTTTTAAGGCGCACTGAAATTGCCGATCTGGCGCGTTCTAATCTCTTAACGATACCTCAATCGGATTAAAACAATAGGAGTAGGAGGAAAAGGTAAAATCGAACGAACATACGTTCTCGACGCTCGGATTATAGTGTTTCTTGAAGAAAAACGCAAGACATTCGGAAGAGAACAATTTTCAGAACTCTATATACAACTTATATTTGCATAATTGACGAAATGGAATATTAAATTCAAACCCTTATCTTATTTAAATTTCACTTTATCACAATAATTATTTTTGGATAAATCTATATTAGCGCTATGAATCTCGTTGGAGATTGCATATATACTAAATAAATGATTGCAGAAATATCGAATGAATATTGTCTGTAAAAAATGATTATTTTCATTAAGCATTATTTTCATTAATTAGCTTGCAAATATTATTTCCTTGAATAACTTCTCTGCATTCAATTCGACTAATAAATAACAGTTAAATTGTTCTTTTTCAGGTCACTGAACTTATTGAGCAGAAGTCCAATGATATGGAAATTATAATTAAAGAAGTACGGATGAATAAACGAAAAGATGTCCAAGTTTAAAAGAAGTTTTAGAGAATGTCTACATATTTTCCCCTTGTTGCATCATTTTGCGTGCTAGTCTAAATCTGAACAAGCAGATACATATCGACGTTTTGTGAAACGCGAACGCGATCTTGCGAATAAATCTCCGGCCGCTCGATGCCTCGAGTGAACTGCACAGGATTAAATTTAAATTGTAAGCACGAGTGTGCGAGGAAAATAAAGGTTTCATTACAGAATTCGATAAAAGTACGTCGGCCATCGAGAGTACTCGCGCGAGGAAAATATCGCAAGAGTCAATACTACCCCATCGCAGCTTCGAGAATAGGGCGCTACTTCGTTAGTACAAACCGCAGAACGGAAACGTGATTCAATCGTCCGTCTCTTGGCTGGCTCTTGTATGTCCGTCTCTTGCAGGCACGATATATCTGATCTCGCATCACAAAGTGCAATATTTCGACCATTGCGTTTTGAATACCCGACCGGCATGCGAAAAAGAAACTTCACTCGTTGGTTTAAAACACTCACTCAAATAGATTATTCGCATGATTTATGAATATTAATCAAATTAAATGCATTCACATAAAATTGCTACGAAACTTTGAAAAGACACATATCACGCGGCTATTTTATTTAACATAAAAATGATCATAGTTGTCATTTCCGACAGTAAATAAATAATTATCATCGACTAATTACAATTAAAAATAAATATAATAGAAAAAAATTTGACACGAGAGAAGGGTGAATGCAAATAATTCGTAATAATTGTTTAACAAGAGATAAAATTACCTGCCACAGTTAGGCGGTTTTTAAATTCTCATTCAAAAATCTCTTAGTGATCGTACAATATACCATATCATTAAAAAAACAGTTGGAAGCATAATGCATAATAAATGTACATACATAAATATAAATACAATTTCGAGATGTAGGTGACTTCAAATTCGCAAGAAAATAATACTTGATAAACAGTAAAATAATTGTAATGATTATAATTATAACTTTTTATTTTAATAATAGACTAATGATGACTAATTAGCAAACATTATGATCGGGTTCAGCAAACTTAATTGTTACGGAACGGACTCGTGAGTGTTTTGTCTCTCTCTCTCTCTCTCTCTCTCTCTCTCTCTCTCTCTCTCTCTCTCTCTCTCTCTCTCTCTCTCTCTCTTTCTCTCTCGCTGCTATTGGATGATCTAGAAGAATACACCAATAGCAGCTCATGGATCCAATTGGCAACAGTTGAATCTGTAAAAAAAAGGAACGATAATAAAAAGCACAAAATAAATAAAAAATAAGAACAGGGTCGTCATTTTGAACTCTCCCCTTTTGTCAGTCAAATATTCTACCCACGGGCAAATTAAGTTGTCGGTCCTGTTCAGACATGAAACAAAGGATCAACGCGATGTTGCAAACGCTTTGAAGCATTTTTTTAACTGATCAGTTTATAAAATTTTATAAAATTTTTCTTTCTTCTAATTAGTTCATCAAATGTTTCAAAACATTTGTAGCAAAACTTTGACTAAAGATGAGCATCGAATGTCTTTATATAACTTATCTAATAGCATAGAAGAGAACCACAAAATCGTGTGGAATACTTATAGGATTTCCGATTTGGTAAAATCCAAATTTGCAGTCATAACGTCAACAGCCATCGACCGCCCTGCAGGATTCAATGTATCCACTGTTCACCCGCTTTCAATTGATCAATCTGTTCGACTTGCTTACTTTTTTACACTTTTTATACTTAAAATGAGATAGATATTTGACGCTAAAAAGAGAGAAAGTGAAGATGCTGAGTGAAAAAAGTATAAGCAAGTCGAATAGATCTAGTGTTTCTGATGTCTCGTTATCACAATAAGGCATCTCAATTTCAATTGTGTCGAACCATAGAGTGACTGAGTTCAGCAGAACACAATTTATGATTAAAATTATAAGAAAATGGCTCAAATGATGAAAATTCAATATCTATAAGAAAAGAGCCAATATAATATCTGTTACAATATTCAAGATAAAAATTGTAACTGTAAGTAGAAAAATTGCTGACAAAATTTAATAGCAAAATATAATAAGGATATTGTCATGAATACTGTAACAGATATATTATAATGGCTCTCAGCTATTTTCTTATACATATGTATTGAGTTCTATGATTGTTTGCTAAAATAGGATCATTCTTTTAGATCTAAAAGTATAATCCAATCAGCACGAAGAAAACTTCGAACAATTGCAAAATAAACGTTCTGCTGAACGCATTAGGCGCGTTCAAGTCAAACAAATCGGCTAGCCTGCTCGCCGAGCAAATGAATATAATTGTTACTTATAGATCCAACCAATCATATACAATCGCTCGGTAAGCATGCTTAGTCTCATTGTCTTGAACTCGCCCAATGTCTTTATTTTCATGTCCTCTTATTTTTCGACGAGCATTCTCTGTCGCACAAAGACGATTCTCCACCAAAGAAATTTCGGTTTACCGCTTGGCCCTGATTTCCATATCTCCTCACGCACGTGTAACAAAAATATTCGCGCAACGCAAAGCCCGACACTCCACATCTCTCGTCCCGCGACGATTCCTTTGTCCGGGACGTGACAAAAACACTGCAGCACTGAGACATATTCGAATTATACATATATCAATATTTATATTCCGTCAAAGAATGATATCTCTGTTTTTGACCTTTTGTAAGCAATTTATGCTTCTTCTTTCTTTCGTTTCTATACCTCAGTGATTAAATGCTTTAAAATTCTGTATATAATACAAAACGCGCGGTTATAATGGCGGACCAGCAATTAGAAGACAACGAGATCCGAGTTCGTAAATATCTGCGTAAACATTAGAAATATCTTATAGATCCAACTATATTAAATTACTCACTCACTTGAAAAACGAACATTCAAAAGTATTAACAGAAGAACAGAAGAGAGATCAAAACGTTCATTGGGCATGGGATTATTTTACTCCAATAACACAAAAAAGAGCACTGTGCAATATATGTAATAGAACAATTGTTTCTGTAGATATCATTAATTTAACGAGACATCGTGATACACACAGGCACTTGTAAGTATAAAATAAGTATATTTTCAAGAGACATAATATAAGGAAGCTTTATCACGGAGTTCCGTGCATAATGTATCTGATATCATTGTCGCATTTCTTATTTTCCTTATCACTCCTTATATAGGTATACAATATTCAATCCAAATCCAAATATTGATATGGGTAAGGCAGCAGTGCAAGTGGCGGTACGACTGTAAAGGATGTGGAACATCAGGAAGCTTCAATACCAATAGTATTCTAATTTGACCGATATAATACGGATAGATCAGGTGTTCCTCACAAGTAATTATTCACTTTAAATTTATTTAAATACATGCTAATAGATCTTATGAATCAATTTATATTTCTTTTCCTATTCAAATATAATCTATATGATGTTGTGTATAACACTTATTTATTAAATTTCATAAATTTATTTCATTAATATCTGTATAATAATTAATCAATCGCAAACTATTACTTCAATTTTGTTATACTATTTTACATGTTATATAATATTTTATATAATACTATATGTATCAGATGTTATTACAGCTTCCATAGCCACACTGATTCTGTATTAGCAGTCAGGTGTTAAAAAAATCTATTTGTATTCGTTACACCTATTATGCAATAAATAATGATTAACTTAAAAAAATGTTGGAAATGTTAAATGTACAAAAACAATTTTATTTTTAACTCTTATTCGCATAAACAATAATTAATGAAATTTATGTTAATTGCATGAAGAATAAATAAATAACAAAAGAAAGATATAGTATATTGTATATAAATAATATACAGGTACATTGTTTATAATTATACAATTTACAAATATTTTTCATCATCAGTTTATCTGTGCATTAACTGAGAAAAACGGCGTGTCACTGCTAAATATTCATCTGTGATCAAATTTGTTTTCTCATTTAGTGTACATTCATAAATAATACAATTACATGTTGTTTATTGCATGCAATATGTAGTGCATTCGCTTTGATAAATTGCTTTCGTTAAGCTTACTTTTATTATTTTATGCTATTAATCGAGATATTGTTTAATTTTTGAAGAATAGACATATATATTTATATATATATTTATTTTTAATTTGTTCTTCTTTTCTTACTTCTAATATTTTAGGAAATGAAGTTTATATTTATGCATACATATATTTTATGATGAAAATCGGTGCATACAAAGAATGAATTTAATCTTAAAATTTACCCTGAAAATGATAATTGTGATACAATACATTCTTTTAAATATTTATGGTACAATGCAATGTTTCAAAGATTTATATCATTCATTTCAATAAAATTAATTAAATTCATTTTATATTTTATTGGTA